GGGGGTTAGGTTCCCCCTCCGATGGATACAAAGGCTGCTTTCAGGGGCTCGGCTCCCCCTCTCCGATGAATACAAAGGTCACTTTCTTAAAAAGGGGGGGGTCGGAGACAAGTTGGCATCACTCTGTAGCCATTATCTATCCATTGACGCGGAACAAGGGGTGTTTCCAGGGAACTCTTCTTTCGACTGCAGAGGGATTTGAAACGGGCGCATCACGCTTATGGGAGGAGCTTCTCCTACCTTCTTGACTTGTAACCGACTATAAAGTACCTCCGTTTTTTTTTTGTTTTATTTTTTGTGCGCGTTTGCAAGGGAGAGGAATGGAGCGCATAGGAGGGCAAAGTGCATGGCGCATCGCGTTCCTCTCCCTCCCCTTCCCCCTTGCCCAGCGAGGGGAACGCTACAGGCATGATGGCGAAACCCGACGCCGAGGGAATGTGCGCGAGAGCCGTAGCCGGCGGCCACGGGCTGTCGGCTGCTGCTGTTCGGTTGTTTTTGTGCATCAAAAGCTTTTTGAAACAAGAAGCCGCGCGGCTCTACCGCGACGCCGGCTAGGTGTTTGATAGCTCCATACCCTCGGTAGGGTTTCAAATTTTGGTCGCGAATTAGGTCAACCCTTAATTTTTGACAACATTTCCGAAAAAAAAAAAAAGGTCGACCTATATTCGAATAAATACGGTAACCCCGATAGGAAGGTGTCTGCCTTTTCTGATGCACCGCACCTGTTCAAGTGCATCTGATTTCAGCTTAAACAGCAGAGGTACCTGAAGAAGGACAGACAGCAGATAAAGTGGGAGGACTACGCTGTTGTCTACAAAGAAGACCTTGTTGTAGCTGGAGGTTTAAAGGCACGTCCCAAGATTACACATGCACCTATTTTTCCCTAGTACCTGCGAGAAAATGTGTCAAGCTTGCTACGCAAGTGTTTAATCACTCCATGGCTTCAGGAATTCGATTTTACAGAAGACATGGTGCGTACAGTCGGGCGAACAGTGAAGGAACCGAAGAGTTCACGTTGTTCTTGAATGACTTGTTCGACGCAATGAATCGTCGTTATCCAGATGAAGGCATTGTCAGGAATAGCCTGGACCTTGCTATCCTGAACCATGGTGCGGAATGGCTTGACAAATGAAAAAAGAAAGTGAAGAGTGGTGCGATCATTAAGGACACGCTCTTAACAAACGGGCACGTCAGGACTTTGTGTCACCCTGAAATCTATGCGAGAACTCTCCGAGCTCCTGCTGGAAAAGCACAACTTCAAATTCATCCTCACAAGCAAAATGGACCAGAATGCTACTGAACGTTTCCTTGGGAAAATCAGAATGGCAGACAGTCAGAATGACCATTCATCAATGCCAACATTTCTAAAACTGTACCAGACGTTGAGTAACTACTACAATCTTCTAAAACTTCAAAAGTTTGGAAACTGCAGAGTGGTCGAAGGAGAGGAACCTTTACTTGACTCATCGGACCTCAGAGCCCTCAACAGCACAGATGACAAGAGCAGGTCATTTCCCCCCTTTTTCGACCAGGTGAAGAAGAAACTGGACAATCTGATTTCTGTTAATGACTGCGAGTGTGAGGATGTTTTCTACGAAAAGAAATCTGAAGGAGTAATGTCGCAGATTGCATACCGTATTATTTAGCAGGAAATTGAAAAAGGCGACGAGATGCACCACATGCTGTTCTGCCTTCAGCATCGAGCCTAGCATGTCTGCTGAGGCAGCGCTGACGAGCATCAAAAAGAGGGGAGGCCTAGTTCATTCAAACCAAAATCTGTTTAACCTGCTAAAGAAAACAAGAGAGTTTTGTAAAAAAAAAATAAAAAATGCCAGACTGTTTACTGGGAGACAATTAAGGGCGTACTTGATATATAGTAACATTTCCACCTGCCGAACACAAAGAAGAGACAGTTGCTCATGTGTTGCACTACTTTGTAAGCATGCGGATGAGGCAACAGAGTAAGCATATTAACCAAAGTTTGAAGAAAGAAGCAAAAAAACATTCTGTCAAAATTGTGCTCATGGAAGATATCCTAAAATTTTAAAGATGACAGTGAAAATGTTAAGAAGTGGGAAATCACACTGTGGTGGAAGCAAGTAAAGTATGCCGTAGGGGAAAAATCTAGTCAGCGCAGTACACTGTATTGGCTGCATTTCCCTATTGCCGTTAAGCCGACACTACAGAATGTGGACAGATTTTCGTAAACGACACAATCGTTTTAACTGCTTTCATAATTTGACTTGTCCCTTGCTGCACTCAATATTGTTTCTTACCTTCACAAATAAACATGTTTTCTGCTCAAATGTTGAGTATTTAGTAGAACACCAGTTGATATTGCATGCTGCTGCCTCGGTGGCTCCGACGTAAAGCACCGGCCTACAGATCCCCACGTAGCGGGTTCGAATGCCGACTGAGGTGCCCGCAATACGACGGAGTCTTATTGCGAAGAAGGCACATGTAACCAAGCTTTTGGTTGCAAGTCAAAAGATCCCGAGGTAGTCGAAATTAATCCTCAGTCCTCTGCTGGGGTGTGCCAGATGTCCTCGCAGGTTATGCAAGTAAGCCCTTAAATTTGTCTTTGATGTTGCATGTTTCAGCCAGACCTTTTCACCCTTACACACAAACAAGAGTCACTCTAAGGCTCCACTGAATCACTCATTTCCCAAAAAGAATGAAGGAGCAAGGGGATGACATTCACCAGAGGCTTAACAATCAAGTCTTCAGCTTTACGTAATGGGAGTAGCAGCATCGGAAAAGCACAAAAAGAGACCATCACAATAAATATGAACCGAAAATTCGATTTGATATTGGCTTCACTGCAGAACGTTTCTGGTGTTATTGCGGATGAACCACAAAACCGTTAATAAAGGTGATATTAAAAAAAAAAAAAATTTACGATGCCATGTGAATGAGATTAAAAGAGCTGTGCAATGATTTTAACGTTGAAAGAATTGGCATCTTCTACTTTTGACATTGTTCACCTTGTCACAAAGGACAGAAAACACACCTACTTCCTTCGAAATGTTGCGATTCCGCCGCATAATCACGAGTCAAACATTAGAATATTCCTCGACCAGCAGCTGCGAGCGGCGGCCATGAGAAACACGCGGCATGACGTCGATGCGGGTCTTGTAGAAAGATAGCAAGTTGTGCGAATACCTGCTCGATAAAAGGAAACTTTTCTATAAATCTTGTTGTTCCAATATAAATATAAATGCGTCAAAAGCTGGTATCATCGACAAAACTTTTATTATCTGGTGTTTTAGAGGTGCCATCTATCCTAGGTCCTCAAAACCGTCAGCTCTATCTGCTACCGTGAACAGCGAACAACCGCCGGAAGCCTGAGGGGGAGGGGGACAGGGCCGGATGGGTATGGCCAGACCCGGATGAGACTTTCCTCCTTTCACCATATTGTTCGCGCGGCGCCCGCCAGCATGTGGTCACACGGTCGCGAGCGGATAAGTTCTCGCTGCAGACTGATGGCTCTAGAGAGAGAGCTTCACCGGAACCCCGCGCAAACCCTGTTGACGTCACAGCGCACGTGACTGGGAAGATGGTGAAGAAGTTGAGAGGTGCCGAAAACCTCAATCTTTGTCCATTTTTAAAATGAAAACTAAAACATGCAGGCAAAAGCTGTTTTTCGTTCTTTAAAGGTCGATAGAGCTCCGAGAGGTGGGTTGGTGGCAGCGGCATGGTAGCTGTTGTTACCAAGCGTCACGACATCTACCACGCTGATTCCAAGTAATTTACACCTCAATTCGGCTGCTTTCACAAATACAACTAGAAATGCCCTGCAAGCATATGCACAAGTGCACAACTGGTGCATTCCACACCCGTTGTCCATAGCTTTAAGAGGCGAGCACGGTAAAAGCAAGAGAACCGTCAGGCATGCAAACCAACAACGAAGAACAGGGAGTAGCAGAATAAGTTACGGGATTGGTAACTGTCGACAGGGTACACACCACGGCTCCGCTATTTCCCGTACCGTTGAAGATCAAAATTAAAACACAGTTAGAAGCATGCGCCGTGGTTCGAAGGCACTGGAGAAAAGCCCGCCCGCCAGATCACTACAGGAGAGACCGCTGTGCCCAGTTTGCATTCTTTCAGCTCTTCGTAGCTTCCACCATGGTCACTACCTAAAACAACGTCCGTAACAACTTTTCACATTCGCCGACGATGCTTTCAGGCCCCTAAATGATAAAGAAACCCTGAAAACAATCCTGACAGTAACACGGCCGGAGCGCATGCCAGGAAGAGCTGAAGGTTTCCCAGCCACCCAAGTTGCAGCGCCCTCTACATCGGCGCAATCGGGCAACTCCGGGTTTGAGGCCGGCCTCCGCACATTATCTGACCACATTGGTCGGAGTAGTTTCATCACCTAAACAGTCTTTCTTGCACCGTGGTCGTATCTCAGCATCCCTCATAAATATACCTCTCAACCGTGGGTACACTCTGTAACTTCCCTTGCTGTAGGGTCATGACAATAGCGGGAAAATCAACAACACACTTAGTATTAACATGTTCTGGGATGCCCAAATGGGTGAAGAAACAGAAAGTCACAAGTTGTTCTCATTCCAATTAAAAAGACATTTCTAAAAGAAGTACTCCCCCCAAACAATGTGAGCTGCAACAGCTAATCCGGCCGTTTTCTGCGTCTGCAATCAACACAAGCCCCATTATTTCTTGACAAAGTTTGCACTCTATTGCTATTTCGGACCAAAGCATTTTTGGAAAACTGGTAGGTATGCCTAAGAAGCACAAAGGACTGTTGTAGCACGTACTGTAAAGTAATTGTGTGCTGTATGTTTAGACAACAGGAAACCAGTCTGTTCCGACTGCGCACCGGTACGATGCTCATTCAGATAGAAATGGGTAGGGGCGGAGATTGAACCCAGCATCTCTAGGTTCCACAGCGCAAGCTTTTACTCTACATGCTCTAAGCTGCAGTGCGTTAAAACAAAAAAAAAAGAAATTAAAAAAGACACCTCTACACTTACCTGAGCAATGTTCCGATTAAGGAGGTACACGCTGTAGTTGAACAACATTTTCTCCTTTCCCTTGAGGTACAGAGGAAACCTATGGTATGTGACAGGAGGGAAAGAGAAAAGACCGCAGTCACGTGTTATCAATAACGTCACGATGGAACAGACATTCGGTGTGGAGGAATATGAAGGCACTCACTCTCGTTCCTTGTCAGAGAAATGCTCGACGAGATTGTCGCGCACCGACGAGTTGGTCCCGTAGTGGATGAGTGGATAGCGCAGGGGAACGTCCAGGAAGTGCGACATCATCAGGAGCACGTGGGTGACATATCCCAGGGCCACGGAAATCATCAGGTCGTCCCTGTCTTTTGCAGTCCGGGGGAGACAAAAGATAATTAATTCCCTAGCTAGTATAGAGTAAAACAACTATAACAGAGCAAGTTGAGAAAAAGAAAACACGCAAGCTCAATCGGTATTTTACTGCACCAGCACTTCGAGTGCCTCTTCCAGTATTAGAAGTGCAACACAATTTTTTTCCCCATTAAGTATATAGTACTGTCGAGGCCGGTTATAACGAAGTCGGTTATAAGGAAATAGCGGTTACAGCGAAGCGGTCACGATTCCCCATTCCTTTTTGCACTTGGTTATAACCGAAGTCGGTTATAACGAAATAGCGGATATAGCGAAGTGATTTCCGATTCCCGTTGACTTCGTTATAACTGGTCTCGACAGTACTCGGTATCTTACAAGATATAACAAAACTTATAATGTAAGTACTACAAAGTCCAGGCTCGAAGTAGTGTGCCATATTGTCACGAATGACAGGTGATGGGGCGACGAATGAACAGAAACTAAACGTTTAATTTGGCGAACTTGTGCCGAAAACAAAAGGAGCAAAGAGGTAGCGTCGCAGGCTTTGAAGGAAGGTGGCATAGCACGATCGAGCGCAAGAGCAAGGCCGACTTGTATGCTGCAACGCAGCTTCTTTTAAGCCCTCCCTGGGAGCCTAGAATATTCTGCCTCGGTCCTTCTCGAACGATACATTCTTAGGACGAATAGGCCAGACACTTCTCCAACCTTCTCGAATCTTCTATTTTCATAAAGGAAGATAAAACGACACGCAGTGCTGAGAATCGAACCCGAGCCACTTGTGTGCGAGTTAAACGCAATGCCGACTCGGTTACGTAGGCGTGCGGCATTACTCCCCCTTTTTAAAAAGTGTATCGCTCCGATGCAACACGAAACAAAATCAAGGCAAATCCAAAGAATGGTGAAGTAAAGGTCATCTGGAACCAGGGTGTCGAACCGGAACCGAACCGAACCGAAAACCGGAACCGAACCGTTATTTTTAGCCGAACCGGAACTGAACCGAACCGAAATCTTTGCCGCCATCTTGGAACTGAACCGGAACTGAACCGAAAAAAAATATAACGGTAACCGGTTCAAAACGGTGCACGGATATTTTTTTGTTAGTATCACAACACAAATATTCGAGAATAAGAAATTGGCAGCTGCGTTTCTATATATATTGATCAAATCGTCATATTAAGAACTGCTACCTGTGAGAAATTATGGGTTCTCGTAGCGCTTTTGTTTTGGAAGTAGGATTAATCATGTGTCACGTGGTCACTTGACGTGCCTAGTGTCATGTACAATGATTGGAACGCGTCTCCGACTGGTGTGTTTACTGCGCCAAAAAAAGTGGTCCCTCAATGTCCGCTTGATGACATCATAGAAGTGTAGTGCAGTCGCCGGTCGCGATCTTGGCGGTGTCCCAGCAGCGGTGGTTGATGTGGCAGACGCCTATTCTGCTGCAGGTCGCTCTCCAGTGCGGCAGTTCACGGTAGCTTCGGCAGCCAGAAGTTGGGACGCCATGACGACCACGACACTCGAGTTCGCTTGTGCTTTTCGCCAGCATTCCTTCGACGAGCCGCCAGAATCGCGTCATTCGACAGCAGAATACTCAAGCTTTTATGACGTCATTTGGTAACACTTTGGGACTGCTGTTAAGAGAGATGAGACTCTAAACACACCAGTCAAAAGCGCGCTCAAGGCACCCTAGTGTCAAGACATGCTATCAAGTGATGTCACGTCACTTGGCCCAGTGACTTCATGTGACTCACTTTGTCAAATTGATTTAAATTTAGAACGTCACGAGATTTATTGGCGTTGTTGACATCGTGACGTCACATGACATCACGACTTCGCACCGCAAGTCATGTTGCACCCTAGCGTACTCGCTTGTCATGAGCCGGAGTCGAGTGCTCGGGTTTATGACAGACAGCATCACGAAACTCTCGCGTAATGGGTCGTGGTCAATTAAAGATGAGAATAGTAGAACCTTAACAATGTCTGAAGCTCACCCCTTACTCTTATTAGCGTCCGTTCACGCGACCGCTTGTTCGAATTGCGAGGTGAGGGGGGGGGGGGGGGGGGTATCGTTTCTTTCCTTGATTTTTTCTGCGTCTCATCGGTATTACTATTTATTCAAGTTATCAAAGTCAGGGATTAGCTCTTTTTGGTATTTACTGAAAGTACAAAAATTGTTGCACGACCTATTTTACGCCTATACATCATTGAGACACCCAAACATGTTTTCGTTGTTCCTCAACTGCCTCAGATAGTTGTCCCCGTGAAGCATTTACGAAATTTATTATTAATTAATCCTATGCTATATAGAATTACAACTGTGTACGAGAGGGATATCGGAAAAGAAAGATTCTAGTGGCCTCGGAGGGACATTTTCCCCCAAGCTTCGACCATCTCCGTAGCTTGTTAACTTTTGGGTGCAAAATAAAAGCGATGGAAAATTATCCTAATAAGCCGAATTAACACCCACAAACGGAGTAGAGAGTCCCTCAGTAAAAAAAAGTAGTCTCTAAAGGAGCAACAAAAAAAGTAAGAAAAAAAAAAAGATGGGGCCGGGGGGGGGGGGGGGGGGGGGGGGGGGTACTTTTAAGAGCGTACTGTGTTGTAACGGTTTCTCTGCTCCGCATTTTCGGCATAGACAAGAAAGCGTGGCCCCGGAAAAAAGCATCTTTGCAAAAGATACTCTAACCAAAAAGCGCGATTTCGTGGTGCCAGGTTCTCGCGCCGTTCATCACGACGCTGCTCCAAGCAAGAATAATTTGTCTCTCAAATACATGGCTTGTACTCAAAGTAAACCTTCTGCAGCGTGCATTTTGCATTACCTGTTTTTATTTTCTGACTAAGAGCAATTGCAATAGAGCCTTCCGGAAAATCCCATACGATTCCGCTGCAGTGAGAATTGTGGGGCTGTTCCGATATACGCTCGTGCCGGCTCGAACGATTCGTATATTTTAGTAGCGACGCGGTTCATTCTCTTATAATTAGGAGCTTAGAACGCCCAAAAAATATTGCGAACACAAAAAGAGCTCATCGCATTCTCCGTTTTGCTTTCCTTCTGCCTTCTCTGTGTTATTAAACCACAGAACATTAAACCAACGTCAACTTCGTCCCTACCTCCTGATTAATCTCACGTGCCGTACATCGGAACGTCACAATGCGTCAAGCACACAATGGGGGCGCCACATATTTCCGGAAAGGAAATACCACCAGCATAGTGCGATGACGTCACATGCAAACCATGTTAAACAGTTCAGTTTCCTTATGAAATGCGATGTTCGCAAAACTGGCAAAAGCAGATAATCGAATTGTATATTTGCGCAGTATAGGTAGCAGTCTCGCGATGATATATAGCAGGCAAACAAAATGTTAGAGCGCATGACTGAAAGCACAAAGTTGTTAAGTGAGTGCCAAAAACAAGTGCACGTCAAGGCCGAATGTAACATTAACCTCCCGAGGCGGTATTTCCCGAAGTTTCAAGTTTAGGCAAACTTATGGCCAAATGTAATTTAAGTTAGTGATATAAGAATCTTCGTCTGTCCTTTGGGCTATTTATGTGTAATGGGTATATCATTACGTCTCTACAATTGTTTTTGCGTTAATGCGTCGTGCATCATATTCTTTTTAAGATTACCATTTATTTTCGTTCTCTTTCTTCCCATTTCGCGTATTTCACTTCAGAACTATTATATTAGCACAAAGTCCTATTATGCATATCCGGCGATCCGATGTTTCACACTTCCAAACTGCGAAATAAAAAAAAAATGTTGCCACAGCCCTCAACCGCTGGTGTATTCGAGTATTGTCCTTCCGTGTCGGTCTCAAGCAGTTATGTGACAGGGTAAAAGAGTACTGCATAAAAGACGGGACAGAGAAGTAAAACACAGGACCACCGCTAACTTGCAACTAAAAGGTTTATTTCGTCTTCTATCCCGTATGAAAATCTTATATCTGGGCCATATCTGGCCATATCAAACATTATATGATTATATACGGCCTATATACAGCCATATCTGGTGTATATACAGACTTATCTGGCGTATATAAAGCCTGATATGGCATATATACAGACTTATCTGGCGCATATACAGACTTATCTGGCATATATACAGCCTGATATGGAGTATATACAGACTTATCGGGCGTATATACAGACTTATCTGGCGGCCGGTTTTCAATATATTAAAAAGTTAAAAAAAGTTAAAAAAAAATTCTTTGTTAGCAAACTCTGAATGACTCATTGCTCGCGAGCTAAATATTAGCACAAATAATCCCAAACTTCAGCTTTGACAAGCTTCAGTTTAAGATTATTTGTGCTAGTTTTCGCGAGGATTTCAATGTAGCTTAATTATTTCAAAGTGTTAACATTACGCCCGAATAGACAATTTGCTAAATCCTCCGAGCGCTTCGGCCCGTACTCCAGGAATCATGGGGATGGTGTTTCTTCAGCTGCCTAGTGATCGAAAATTTCGAGCAATTCTATGGTTACACAGATTTGAGTGTAATTCGGAGTCACCCTGAACACGTGCCGTACAGAACCCAAATACCTGCCATACCACTTTTAAAATGTCCCGCCAATGTCAGTACTGTGCATTCCGGCCAACCTTCAACCTGGATGAGCCGCAGACATATCCTTTACATTATTATCATTCTCGTACAGCTTCAAAGACGCTGATATAAAGTTAGAAACGCTAAAAATGTCTTAAACATCTCCGCTGAATCCGAGCTAAATCCCCGTTTTGTTTGTTGTAATTTCTCGGCTTTTAAGTAATTCCTGCTGAAACAACAATCACGAGAATGATAATATGGTAAGAGATTTCGGCTGCTCAGCCTGGTTGAAGGTTGGACAGAATGCACAGTATCACAAACGCTGCCATTGACGAGAAAATTTAAAAGTGATATGACAGGTACTTGAGCCCTATAGGACGCTTGTTCAGGGTGACTACGAATTACACTGGAAACTGTGTAGCCATGGAATTGGTCAAAACTAGCGATCACT